AAGAGTACCTGCAGCAAATGAATGCATCGCCACGTCCCCGTACTGACTCGAACAATACACATAACAGAAGGGATCGCAGTCCAAACGAGGCAATCATTTAAGCTATAGGCATTATGAAGAAATGAGTTATGATTTAAATCAAGTATACTTGAATTACACCAAGCAATGTCAGAGAAAATGACTCATACATATCAGAACAGCGGCTACGTGACTGTTCCGTTGCTTCCAGGTTCCAAATCAGCCTAAGCCGTAGAAGTCGTCGACCCTCTGCTAAAGTTAGGTCTTGTTTACTACAGAGCGAAGTGATCTGAGACATGTCATATGTCAGCGGTGGATCAGCACTACACAAGGCACTTCCTAACGTAACATTGGTAGCAAAAACTGGAAGAAAGAGGCGCTATTTCCTCGCATTACCTTAAACGGGAACTGTGACGAGACTCACATGACCCACAAATGGGACAAGTCAAGGACACAGCAGCACGAAACGCATTTAGACCGTAATAAGAAACACGTTTCGCTTCGAGACGACACTTGAATGGCATTCCACTGATCTATAGCATGTGTATATATTTTCACGAGGAATGTTGTCTTAATTAAGTGCATAATTGCCAGTCAGGGAAATAAACAGATTTAAGTAACAACAACACGCCTTTATAAAGAATAATTTTTGCATGTTTACCGCCAGCGGTATTCTGGAATACCGGACTAGAAGACAAAACAAGCCTACAGCGTGACTCGCTGAATAAAACGTCTTACGACAGGTCAGGCTAAATTCAGCTATATTTATTAACGATGAATGATGAATGAATGTTACGAACAACCAACCGTCAGAGTTACACGGTGGGCCGTGCTCAAATCTATCACGAGACAAACGCTGCGTTTCGATGAAAGACATCCGAAACTATGCTAGTATGATGAGCTATTTACAGAGGACATGACAAATTCTTATCAATTAATTATCATTTCCTAATCAAGAATAGATGACATGGCACGACACACAACTGCAACCCAGCATAGTCTTGTACCATCTTATGACATTACTTGTAATAAGTTCTGTTCACTTTCAGATGTTGTCAAGCCAGTATTTTCTCAGGTGGTGAAGCTTCAGATGTAATTAATGTTCTTTCTGGCCATCCAATTGACATTACTACTCAAGAAATAGCTGAACTACCGTAGATTCG